AACCTCAGCGAGGGAGGTGCGAGCTTTCCCCCGTCTGGATCTGCTATGTAGAAAAGATCCACTTGCATATAATAAATGGAAAGTGATGATAAATGGAAGGGGTGGCGGGGATGACACTAGCTCTTGGGGAGATATGGCGCAAGATCAGCAGAAGAAACAAGGCTGCTCTAATGAGAGGTCTCCAGTTAGGAGATGAAAGCCGATTGTCTGTCTCCAAAACAAAGCCCACTGATTCCCGAAAACTGCTCTGTCCGGGCTGCCCTCCCGGGCAGCAAGAGGGAGGCTGATCGGACCTCAGCCAGCTCCGCTTGTTATTCATCTGCATGTGCGGGACAGGCAGGTACTGGGGGAAAGCTGTCTAATTGCAAGCGGTTTGGGTTTTTTTGTTTTGTTTTGTGGGGGGGGGTGTTCTTTTTCCTTTCTTTTCTTTTTCTTTTTTTCTTTTTTTATTCTGGCGACTAGAGAGCTTTCTATCTCCAGGCAGTAAAAGGTAAAAAATAAAACCCAGGGCGTTTGCTTTCTAAGCAGCTTTCCTATTATCACATCGCCACTTAATTTTATTTCCATTCTCTCCAAGTTAAATAGAAAGCCAGGCTCACAGGGGAGCTGCCATGTGCCTACAGAGTAGGGATGTCAAGCAGAGAGACTCACTGTGCAAAGTTAATTTCAATTCCCGAGGAGGATTTCACATTCCAGCTCGTTCTGACCCGCAGTAATTAGCTGAGATAACTAATGATTACTTACTTATTCCTTGTAATTATCTGGATTTAATAATTCGCTGTGTAATTTATTAATTCCCCCATAATAGCCTTTAAGTGAATGGCTCATTTAAGAGGGCAAAGCGGAAGTTCACAGACTGGATGTTGCGTTGCACACGTTTATTGATAAATTCTGCTCTTCTGGTGGTTTTAATTATCTGATTCAGTCTTTTCCCCCAGCCCTGCAATATCTAGAGGCCAGAGCAGACATTTTTTATTTATTTAAATGGCCGCTGTTCCCTCTATCTCTCTCTCTCTCCCCCTCTTTTAAGACAATTGAGAAACTCCCGGATCATTCTTTAACTTTCCCTGCTCTCCCCAAGCGACCCACATGATTTTTACAGAGCAACTTCAAAGCCCTCCGTCTTTCCAAGAGCTCTATCACACCGAGAGACACGAACTTCATTGGAGAAGCTGTAAAATGTTGCTTGATTTTTCCGCCTGTGAAGTGGCGTCGGGAGAGGGTTTTTAGCTCGGGAGAAACAAGTTTTGATTTTGTTTTTGTTTCTTCGGAAGAAATCACCCTGGCCCTGAGTAGGAGTTTAAAAGGAGAGGCGGGTGCTTGTGTTGCACTTTCAGGGAGGGCTTGTTCCATTCAAACGACACTCGGTCGGTGTGTGCAGTGGGAATGACCAGATTTTTTTTAAATTCATTGTTGTGATTATTATTATTCATGGGAGAATTCTGCCTGTTTGCTTTATCAAAGGACACCCCCAACCCCCACCCCACCACCCCTTGCAGAATCACACCTTCAGCACAGTTACGTTGCTACAGATTTTTCAATCAGTCCCTTAGCGGTATTGGTTGCATAAAGAAATACACGCGGTGGTTACCAAGCCAGAGCCGGGCACTGCCAAGAGATTAAACAATGAAGTAGGATAGAAAAGCAGCATATGGGATTAGATTTAAAAAAAAAAGGAAAGAAAAGCAATGCTGAGATGAAGAGCTCCCAGCCCGCGCGATGCCGGGGCGAGGCGAGGCGTGTGTTTGCTCGGTCGCTGGCAATTTCTCCCCCTGGTTTTGATCGCAGTAATGTGGAAGCCCCAAAACCACGAAGCGTTGTCCCTGACCAGCCCCACAGCTGGATGGGGGTGGGGGTACTCTGCGGTTCTTCAAGTCAGTGGAGAGAGGGAGGGTTGACACCTACATTTCCGCTGGCCCCCGCTCTGTTATGTAGAGAGAGAAAACAGCCATCGGTAGGGCCGGAGCTCCGGCAGCTCTGAGGCTGGGCAAACATCGCGGCAAACGAGTCACGCGATACCGATTGATTTGATTGATATGCCTGTGACAGTCAGTGAGATCTGGCCATCAGTTATCACCCTCTGCGTGTGCGAGGCGCTTGGAAAGCAACATCTCTAGACGATGGTGGGACAGCACAAACGAGGCTCTCCCAACAAGTTACGGAGGAAGCTCTTTCCCGTGCCCCCTCCCTCCGCCCCAGTCCTGTTCAGTGTCGGATTTCCCTGTCTCTCCGCCATGCCCGCGAGCCTGCCCTCTGGAAACGCACCTTGTGTCGGCTTGTTTGGTGAATTCTGGTTAACAATTTAAGACGGGCAAAGCCACCTTGCAGGGAAAGCGGGGATGCGGGGAACAGCAGGAGGTGTGTGGCATCCCTAGGTGACACGGCCGTGGTTTTCCAGCGCGTCTGTCTGTCCACCTGTCTCCTCACAGCCTCAAAGAAGACAGAGCCGACAGACATCTCTAAGCTGTCGGGGAGGCGGCAAATCCTGGAGTCATGTTAGCCACACTACAGCGCTATTAACCCTTAGTTAGCCCCCCCCCCCTCCTCCCAAGCCTGAGCTGTGGTCTAATTCTCGCTCTTTGGGAAACCCAAATGCCCCCTGCTCCTTCCCAAGGCGAAGGAGGTTTCTACCTAGGGCTAATTGCCTTCCCTCACTTGGGGGTTCTTTGTAATGTCTTTGCAAAGCGTGGGGCAGGGCATTTCCCACCTCCC